TAAAATAAAAATATTGACTGGTGGAGGACTTCGTACCGGGACGATTTTAACGCATCCTTAGTGTTCGAGGTTTGATGTGAAGAAGCCGTACCATGGAAGCACGGTGCTCTGCCACTGAAAGACGGCCGTCCTACGACAGATGTCCGCTGTCGCGGTCTGACGCGAAAATTGGATGATGGCTCACGCCTGACAAATTCACGTTCACCTGCGTTGAAGGGGATGGGGACCATGGAGTGATTGCTGCGCGAGCGTGAGCTGGTGAGTGATCGCGCTGCTTTATTCTTTCCTCACAGCTCGGCAGGAAGGAAAATAGCGCGTACTTAAATGTGTGACCGATGTGTAACGCGTCGGCTGATCAACCGCGCTCTGTGTGACTAAGCGACCGTCTGGGGACGGGATCGCGGTCCTTTTCAAGTTTGGTGCAATTCGCGGGACGCTTTGGGCGGTGACAGTTTGCTCTTTCTGATGATGGGGTCAAAGCCTATTTACAAGTAAGGCTCGATAGAAAGGACTTAGATACGCACAGGTCTTCGGGTGGCAGCGATGCTTCGAATGAGGCGCTGTGGGCGGGTATCGTTTAATGAGTCCAAACCACCACCATGGCGACTGCTCCTCCACCAACATTCACCGGTCATGACAGTGGTGGGAGCAGCCGCACACTGACGCTGGGTCTCAGGGTCTGACAGTGAGGGAGGGGGGGGGGGGGACTGAGACACGCTGCCTGAGGCGCAGGTGTGCATTGTTGAGGTTAGCGTGACCCCGACAGACTGTACTTGGAAGCAGCCTCTAGCGCAGGCTAGGCCAGGCTGTGGCTGGCCCAGCAGGCGTGGAGTCGGAATGCTAATGGGTCGGCTCCCGGAGTAAAACAGAGTTCAAATCGTGACGCTCTCACCTTGGATGGTGTGCCCTACCTCACGACGTGGTATTCGTCAGACGTGAGGAGATGGGCTTTGATGCCCGACAGTGTGGCCCTCGTGAGGTTATGGGCTTTGATGCCCGACGGCGTGGCCCTCGTGAGGTTATGGGCTTTGATGCCCGACGGCGTGGCCCTCGTGAGGTTATGGGCTTCGATGCCCAACGGTGTGGCGCTCTTGGGTTTTAGTTCCATTGGTACCGGCGATAAAGTGCCTGTTCCGAGACCTCTGAGGGTCAGTCTGCAGTGGAATGAGGAGTGCTTTCCCGAAGGCCAGGCTGCCTTCTGCGGGCGGCAGCAGTGATTGTGGTCATTAGCTGTTGGAAAGATGCCGTTTGGGTGGCATTGCGCGCATTTGGAGACGCGTGTCCAAAAGTGTGCAACAGTCCGTTAGAAAGTGATGCGAGCTTTCAGGCCAAGGTCATTGAAAATACTGAACACTTTTGATGAAAACCCCTTTCTGCGAGAACTAGAATGGCCGACATGCGACTGAACAAATTTTGGCCACTTTAATACACAGAATGCATCGTGATCTAGCTCCATTCATTCGAAAATTGTTCTCAAATGATTAACTTCAGATTGTTATGCTGTCTTTGGTAGGTAGGATAATATTTCCCGGACGCAGTGGGTGAAAATTTTAAGTTTGGAATGCAATGGTTCGTTTCTTGAAAGTTGGATGATTTAAGGTTTTTCCTGTTTGGCAATGTCCGTCAACGCAATCGAAGAACTTATGCCGATTACCGGTTTAGGTTATGTCGTCAAACTAAGACAAAAGATGAATATGTGTTTATCGGGTAATCGCCACAGTTGACTGAACCCTACGCCTCCCTCATTTAACTGAACTGAACTGAAGTAACCTCCCTCATTTGAGGTCGCAGCGCATTGTGTTCTAGACCGGTTTCGCAGTGTGCGACTTTGGCCACTTACCGGCCGATTGTCGGCGAACCCATGGGCCGAACCTGGTAGACATCAGGCAGTGATTCATAGATGGTGCACTTTCCAATACAATGTACATCTTGTTTCGCATCATATCACCTTGTTTTTGTTTTCTTGGTTTCTTCGTTTTGGTTTTACATCTTACTGTCTGCTTTGGTTGTAGAGAGCTGGTGCCAGCCATCAGAGACGCCCCTGGATGAGCGGATCCATGGTTAGCAGTCGATGGCGCGTGGTGGACTGCACAAGTTGATTCGCACTCTTGTCGTCATTGTATTGGTCTCCCCTCCGTCAAGTAGCGCTGCTTCGTGTCGCTGCAACACTGCAGCTCGTCGAAATCTAGATAAGATTTCAACCGTTAGGAGAATGGAGAAAGCTGTATTTTGTGGCCTATGGCAACGCATGAGGGAAAATCTCTTCTGATCTGGTAGATTGCATGCAGTTGTCTTCAAATGTAGACAGCACGACTTAACAACGATGCGCCTCGTGACGCTGCAAACGGCACGACTCTAATGTTAATATTTGGGAAGATATCAGTGTACAGGTGGAGCGGCGTCCGGGCTGAGTTGGCCTGGCTCGTGCAAATTTTAATTGCTCATCATTGTTGAAGCTAGACTTGCGCGAGTGACACCGCACTCACGCGCACTCGCTTGGTGTGTGGCATCGCTCCTAACGGCCAAAGTAAGTCTCAACTTTGACGATCTGTGTTGACAACCACCAGTGTTGAGACAAAAGGGGCTTTGGTTTCCATTGTTGTTTGCGCTTGGCCAGCTTGTCGATATGCGCCGCGTGATGAAAAGTAGCTGGCTTGACGAACCACACGGGAGCCAGGCAAAGATTCCGCGGTGATCACCAAAAGTATCGCCGGACAATTTGATGCCTCGCGCTGTCCCGTTTGCTAATGACAGCCGTATGCCGCGGAAGGGCACACAAAAGCGGCCGGACCATCGCTCTGCGCGCGGACCGTGACTGGTGTGTGTTCGCTCGGGCGACCCGGCGCCACCAGACCTGAATCGGACCGTGCCTTTCCGGTCAGATGACCGGCGGCTACGGAAGCGGCCCATTCGGCCCGCAGCGGCCGCCGCCGCCGGCTGTGATTACACCCATGCCGAGCGGCCGCTTAGTGCTGGGCTAGGTGGCGGTGTGCTGCGTTAGTGGTCGGCGTTAAGTGCTCATGCCACTTAGTGTTGGGGGTAGCACCAAGTGCCTGCTATTATATTGATGGCCTAGGATGTTGCGTTTCTTGGAGACTGAATACTGGCTTCGCCAGGCACTTCCGCTCTTGATTCGAGTGACCTTATTCTGCTCGTCACTCTCCAATGACGAGTACCCCCACAGGCCATCACATATCTTAAAAAGCAACCAGAGCCAGGCGAAAAACGGCATCGGATAGCTCGCGTCATACTGCAATCGGCCAGCCCGCGTAACGCTGCATCAGACTGATGGCATTTGACACGAGTGCAAGTGACGTTTGATGTGGCAAATCGAAGCCGGCAATAGGATAACGCAGATTGGCATCTGACACTAGTGTAAATGGCGTTTTAGGCAATATATATATATATATATATATATATATATATATATATATATATATATATAGTAAACCAAGGAACAGGATAACATAGATATATTTTTACCTCGCCTGGCCTTGGATGATCTGATCCCTAAATTGCAGTCCATTGAATCGAACCACATATTGTTAGCATTTGTTCAGAACGGGCAAATACAAACGGCACAGCGCCCTTTAATGTGTATGGCAGATTCTGCATGAAACCTCCGCCATCTGTTCCCCGCCTGTGAGTCTGACCGGCATGGCCTAGTCAAAAAGGTCATCACGTGTACATTTGACAGTCTTACGTCAAGTGACGCCAATGAACTGTCAGGAAAGTTGCGGGGCTCTGAGGCCTTTAGCACGGTCCAGTCACCTTAGTTCAGTGATCTGGGTGAATCACACTTGTGCCACACACTGTTAGCCAAAATTGCGTGCACGCGACCTCTGTGGTAGCCGCATTAGCCAGCCGAAAAGCCTGCGTGCGGGCGCTCCTGTAAAGGCACTGTCACACTGGGCGGATACGATCACAGCACAGCAGCCATGCCGCAGAACACCGGGACGATGGTCCACGCGTTCGGCGCTGCTTCCGTCGGATTTGTGACGCACGTTCACCTGCCGCCCCCCGGTGACGCCGACAGCTGTGCAGTGCTACAGCTGACAACTCGGCTGGCGGGCAGACTTGTGTAACTTTGCTGGCGGGTGGACTTGTGTGACTTGACCAACGGGTAGAATTAACGGGTAGAATTGTGCGACTTGGCTGACGGGTAGATGTGTGTGACTTGGCTGGTAGTTAGGCTGATATGACTTGGCTGGCGGGTAAACTTGTGTAAATCGGCTGGAGGGTAGATTTATGTAAATCGACTGGTGGGTAGGCTTGTACCACTTGGCTAGCTGGTAGACTTGTTGCGCGACTTGGCTACCGGGTAGCATCATTGTGTAATTCGACTTGCGGGTAGAGTTGCAGCATAACCTGGGTATCGAGCAGACGTGTCGCACAGTTCGGCTGTCTGGCTGATGTGTTGGACAGTTCGGCTGTTGGAAGGACGTATCGCACAGCTCGGCTGTCGGGCTGATGTGTTGGACAGCTCGGCTGTCTGGCTGATGTGTCGCACAGCTCGGTTGTCTGGCTGATGTGTTGGACAGCTCGGCTGTTGGACGGATGTATCGCACAGCATGGCTGTCGGGCGGACGGTGGGGGGGGGGGGGGGGGGCAGACCGACAGTCAGTTGCTGGGCTGTCGTGAAATTCGGCTTGTTTTCACGGAACGCTGGCGTTGCTTCAATGAGCGCAGATGCTGGCCGGTAGTGACCAGTCGGTGGCCTGTTTTGGACTTGGACGCCAGATGGCCCATCAGGGCCTGATTTTGATGAAGGAATCGGTGTTAAGGTGCTAAACTCAACATATGGTTTACCTAACAACGCCAGCTTACGCTAGGAGTATAGTTCTTCGAGCGGGAATATTGTCACTATCGGCTTGCCTCCATGATTGAAATGCAACGTTTCCAGCCATCTCCGCCTGGGATATCTACGGCGCTGCCATGAATGGCAGTTGCTTGCCAGCTATGTCTGTTTCGTCTTGACCTGTATACGTTTGACCCGGCAGGGCAAGGACAGAGAACCGGTCGTCATGACGACCACGGTGGATGAGGTGGACGCACTGCCCGGCGCCTCGCTGCGGCTAGTGGACGGCCCGTCGCCCTGGGAGGGCCGGGTCCAAGTCTTCCACAAGGACCACTGGCGGTCCGTTTGCACCAACTCCAGAAAGTGAGTTAAGCGCTGCCGGCTGTTAGCCACGCTCGCCTCTCGCCAGCCCACGTCTGCCGCCCTGTCCAACGTCCTCGGTCCTGTAAAGAACTTCAGGAGCTGCGCAAAAACCGGATTATGATTTGCGTCTTGTTTTTGTCGTTCGAAACACGCTATCGCTGCGGCCTGCCCGCTTTGACGCTGGTCACATTCCATGCGTTTGGAGGGATGCCAGTGGCTTGAGCATCAGTTTCTTATGACGTCAGCCTGCTGCCTCTGTTTGGTGACGGGTCCCTTGGTGATGGGTATCCATTGACTTTTGCAATATCTGAAACATTCATTGGTAAACAACCTGGGAACTATGTACACTTTTCCGTCATGCGCACACCAGTATGTCATTAGGCATGCTATCAATGGCTGCTATGGATGCATCTCGTAGTACCGTCATCATGTGGCCTGAACACATTAATTTCAGATCAAGAGAATACAATTTTTTGTGAAGCCGTCTTCTTATTTGTTAATGCCATTGCTGCTGTTTCGTCACCGGCCCCTTATCCGTTCTAGTGACTCACTCTGGAGCGGGTGGAAGTCGAGGTAATGGGCCTCTGCTCGGCTGTTTACCTGTGGGCTGTTTATGTGTTCCGCCCGTCTGCTCAACTGTCCGCTTGCCTGTCGGTCCGCCTGTCTGCCTGCCCGCCCGCCTGCTTAACCGTCCGCCCGCCTGCTCAACTGTCCGCTTGCCTGTCTGTCCACCTGTCTGCATGTCTGCCCGCCTATCCGCCTGTCTGCATGATTTTCCGCCTGCCTGGCTCTGTTTTTAGCGTTCTGTTGGAAATCTCCGCTTTCGCAGCTGGAACTGGAAGACCTTTGGCCGGGGCGATTGTATTGGCCTGGTTTTATATTTGTTATGAAAAAGAGTTTTCGGCAGACCCAGACATCTCCTCTTTCAATTACCAATTCTAGTTTATGGTGGCCGTAGGAACTTATCCGTAACCTGAAATGTGAAGTTGTGCACTTGAAGTGGTTGTTGTCGGATACCTTCGTAATGACGCCACATGGAACGGGCCAGCGAATATCTCCAGATCCGTCTGCGCTCCAAAGCCCCCAAATGCTGTCACGGATCATGACGCATGTCCTGCTGTTGCCGCCCATCACGTCATGGAAGCATACCGAGCATGCTCATCATGGCGGCGCAAATCAAACTATTTGGCTGAGCACAAGAGTGCACAAAGGCCTTTCGTGCTGCTCCTGTATCTGTCCGTGAAAGTCCATGTGCATTACACAACACTCAGTACAATCAGTCTTGATGCAGAAAGCATTTTACAACTCATTTTGGTCGTACACATACCGTGACAGCCTGAGAACGGTAGGCCGCATTTTTCTAAAACAGTCACAATTTGTTGTGACATTTGTTGCAGCTCTGCAGAGAAGCCGAATTTTGACGCCTTTTGAGAAATTGGTGCCTCAAAATTTTGATCATCAAAATTTTGTCCCGGAGGGTTTGGAGTGCAGCTGCAAAAGATAAACGGACATTCTTAATTCATCCTGCATGAAACTAGGTCAAAACAATCATCCTTGATGAAAGAGGCAAACATGAGTATGTCACGCTTCCTTAAGTTGTGGGACGTGAGTTTCAGTCTGGCTGCTCCGGGTCAGCTGACCTTTGCCCTGGCGTGCTGGTCGGTTCGGCCTGACCTGACGCCGGCCTGGCGTGTACTATTGCCAGAAAACCCAGGGGCGCACCCAGTATTACGGTAGGACCGGGGAAGACAAGCGGCTGGCCTGGAGACTGCTAGGAATGACACAAAATCCGTTTGAAAGCATTGTATCGGTGAGTGTTGCCAAGACAAAAGCCAGGCGTGGACGTAACCACGTCCTAAATGTTGCTGGGACCCATTTCTGTTTCGATGCCACTGAAGACGGCCAAACCACAACAGTAATCTGCCTAATTTGCCCAAACGTTGCTGGGACCCGAACCCTTCTGACCGTCGGTGTTGGTTGCGCCCATGCTGCCAGGGTGTTGCGCGGTTTTCACGAGAGTGGTTGTTCGACATCGCCACGAAAACGCCCAAGACACCGAGCTAGGACTAGGCGCTAATCCCTAAGCATCAACTCACGTCTTGAACCTCTCCGCGATGTAAATCGCTCTAACGCGCCTCCAGCCATTTACCCACCAAGCCGTGACCATCAGTGCCCCGGACCGGAGCCGTTTTATCGCCCGTTGCGGCTGGGAACTGTGTGGCCTGGGGCCGTTCACCCCGTGGTGACCTTCCGCCGCCTCTGACCCCGCCTCCCGGAGGTCAGACGACCCTGCTGCACATGACATCCGGGCCTCCTGTCGGCCATCGGCACGCAGGGTCCAGCTCATTGTCCCACCTCACCTGCGGTGACCAGGCCACCTTTATTCCGCAGATCCGCCACCCTCTCACCCCTGCGCCGCCGCCTGGCTGTGTTTACCGGATGGCTGGCGGCCGCCGAGCGTGTGTTGGCGTCCGGAGGGCACGGGTGTTGACTGGCTTGATCGGTTTGTGCGGAGCTGACGACGCGCCGGCCGTGGGGGCCAGGGGCTGTCAGTGGATCAGACTCAAACGGTCCGGGGAAGGGCCGCTGCACACGCTACCGCGCGACGTTTGTCCCGGCATACGTAGCGACGAAATCAGTTTGTGTAACGGAGCGGGCTTCGCCTCCAGCCATTGTTCTCCGGCTGCGTGGGCCCGCATTCTCAGCGAGCTATGAATGGCACATACCTGTTTTTGAACATTGCGATGCTGCATGCCGGAGTTTCAGGTCTCCGAAGTTTTGCGTTCTCAACTGGATTTGACGCAAGGAGTGGCGATGATAGGGCTTTCTGTCATTTCCACATGCAGGTGTCGCTATATGGCACAAAAAATAAAACGGCATAACTGGCAGTATGTCATCAAAAGTAACAATGCTGGCTGGCGCATGATACTAGTACTCGGCATAAATAGCGTGTGTTCGTGCGACCCTTAAGTAATCTCTTAATGGGATTGTTCCACATTTGTGTGGGATTTTGAGCTGAAGTGGCCATCCTAAACCTAAAGATTATGAGGTGCAGTCCACAGCTCTGCCCTTCCTAAGACCCAGTCCATCTAGTGTCTGAACTTCACGCCCGCGAAGACTTGCAGACTTCTTCGTGTGCAGAGTTTTTCAAGGTCACCTAGGTATCCATGACGCCATAATAATGTTATTCAATTCCTGCTATGCCATTGACCATGTGGTGATCAAGGCTAATATAAATATTATTGTCGAATCGTTCATATGTTACGTTTGTGAGCGCTACTTCCAGATATGGTATCTGTGGACTGGCTGTCAATCCATGTTCGAGGTACAATTACGCAATCAAACAATGGCGTGTAAAGGAAAATATTTGCTAAATAGATGAATTGTGCTGTCTAGAGCTGTCTTTTCCACTTATAGTAATATCTGCAGTTATGAGTGAGCGCATTTCATTATGTCTGATGTTTACTTCATATTTTCAAACGCGGAACATTCCCTTTAAGACTCGAAGTCGGGAACTAAGGTGCCGCCGAAGTACGGAGACCAGTTCTGGATGTTCGACATTCTCAGAGCGGGGCATGCCGCCCACACCAGTCGAGCTTAGCAAGGGTATGAGATAGTGGTCCGCAGGCCGAGATAGGCTCCTCGCAGGCCAGCAGTATTCCCCTTGAAGACCACCACAGGCCCGTTTGCAGTTCAGTGGGGTTCTCCTTGCTGTTCAGAAGGGGCTTTTTACAGCAGTGTACTATTGAAAATACAGAAGGGCTTTTGTCACAAGCCAGCCAGAGCCATTCTTGGGAACCAACAAGGGGCCCGTTGGTCATGGTAACGAAGACCGATTATTGCGCCGCTCCTGAAGGCACGACCGCGCTCAGCCCAGGTCCTGTGGTTGGACAATAAAGCGGATGCTATTGGTGTTGACAGCGTATACATATAATCAGAAAGCGTAATGAACGGTCAGGCGAGGGGCAGACAGGAGTGCGGGAAAAACTGAGTCATTTGTTGGCGGATTTAGCAGGGAATGGTTTGGTAAAGGGACCTTAAATGTCGTGTACGTATGATCGAATGGTTGGATTTAAGGCAAACAGCGTTATGTATGTTATTTATTTTGATGTGTGTGGATGTGTATGTTATATCGGGGAGACAGGGGGACTTTATACACCCGTGGGGCAAACCATGTATGAACTGTCAGGGGAGAAAGAGCATCGGTGGAGTGTCCCGTATCCATTTTCTAGAACTCACTGGGCCACTCGAATAATGATGTATCATTTGTTAGCTTTGAGAGGATGTAGAGCAAAAATGTGACGTATGGGAGGCTCAGGGAAAGAAATTGGATTGCTATGTCGGGAACATCACACCTTCTAGGGGTACTCAGCGTAAAAACCAACGTCTAATGCACAAAATTCTTTAAATATATGTCCTAGGAGAGGCCAACCTGCAACCAACGCGCATGTATCAGTTCTTAGTGAACGGTGGGACGTGTAAAGAAGGGCTGTCCCAAGGGTTGTGGAGACTGAAGCAGGCTCAAATAGAATCGAAAAGTATCATTGCAGAATGTTGGCACACACACACACACACACACACACACACACACACACACACACACACACACACACACACACACACACACACACACACACACACACACACACACACCACACACACACACACACACACACACACACACACACACACACACACACACACACACACACACACACACACACACACCACACACCACACACACACACACACACCACACACACACACACACACACACACACACACACACACACACACACACACACACACACACACACACACACACACACACACACACACACACACACACACACACACACACACACACACACACACACACACACACACACACACACACACACCACACACACACACACACACACACACACACACACACACACACACACACACACACACACACACACACACACACACACACACACACACACACACACACACACACACACACACACACACACACACACACACACACACACACACACCACACACACACACCACACACACACACACACACACACACACACACACACACACACACACACACACACACACACACACACACACACACACACACACACACACACACACACACACACACACACACACACACACACACACACACACACACACACACACACACACACACACACACACACACACACACACACACACACACACACACACCAGGACAGCAGCCTGAAGGGCTCGCCACAAAAACGTGGGTCCCTGTCGCACCGGTCTTTGCTGGTGTCATGTCGCTCTTTGCCGGTGTCATGGTGTTTAGCGTGGGCAAAATCGTTGATGCCAAGGAGTGGAGGCCACTTCCCTGTTTACTTCGATTCTGTTCATGGATAATGGGAGTAGCTCCCTCATGTTTTCGTAATTGGATGCACGGCTGGTCATGCAGGGGTCATAGCTAGCGTGCTATGCGATATGCTGGCTGCTTAAGTTGAAGTGGCGTCTTATTTACTGGACTCGTTAAATATTGTGTACGATGTGTGCACGATGATGTA